ATTTTTCTTGTCTTCCAAAACAGAGAATTTACGAGGACACTCCAAAAAAGTTCACAAGCCGAGAACAAATTACTTGTCAGCTGACCATCAACTTTCCTGTCGAATCATCAACGAGTGGAATTCACTACCTCAGCACGTAGTTGAGGCTCCATCCGTCGAATCTTTCAAAAGAAAGTTGGGTCAACTGAGGGACCACCATTGCCAGGACTAACATAGGCCATTGAGCATCCTGCCCTTCCCAAAATGAAACTGAAACTGAACCATTCCCTCATATCAGTGCCTAAAGATTGATGGTAAGAAATTACCTAGTACAAGAGCTAGTTGTGAGTGTTGGGTTAAGCAAGAGATATAAGTCTGTCAGTTTGGAATTAAGTGTTTGAAATCAGTACCGCTTAGATAATACCATTAAAGGTGATGAACTGTATGATTTGTTCAGTTAATTAAATATTTGGTGGTATTAATAGTAATATGTTTCTGCAAGAGCAGGTATGCGCCATTTTTACAGGCATGATATTTAAATTACAACATATGTTGGCTCACAGTATGCGTTCCAAGTAGGGTCGTTAACTAAATATAATTAATAAAAGTGAATAACAGTTCATTCGTGCGAATGTCCTGGATTGATTAGATTTATGTTTTAGTATTACACTGAGTACAGTGGTGTCGCGTACATGTTATACACCAGATCCAACCTCGGCATAATTGTGTTAGAGTTTTGGTCGTGCTAGGTATTTATGCAATACAACTTATTAATTTTATATCTGTTATAAAGTAGATTTGTAGTGGGCTTAGTGTGAACTATGACCTTGAGAAAACGCGTTCCAGAAGTCAAAAGTTCCATAGCTGTGCACTCAGAACAAGATTGTGAAAAAAGGAGAAACAGAGGAGCAGCAAGGCACTTGGATCTAAACGCAGAATAACGCTCACCATTTTGTTGTGGAACAGAGAGATACATGATAAATTACTAGATTAAATTCATAAGGGCCATTGTTGCTAGAGTGAAATATGATTAGAGTATAAGATCCAAACTACGTTTGGACTGCTGGACAGCTGCCTGGATGAGTTAGATACACGCCCACGCCCGATTGAAACCAAAACAAAGTAATTGGGTAAGATAGCGGTTCTATAATTTATCATAAATTTAAGTATACATTATTACCTAAACAAATATAACCACTCAGCTATCCAACCAATAATTGTTCAATTGATCAAATTTAAACTACAATAAATAAGAAAGTTGATAAAGGATGCAAGAAAATTATCAATCACCACAAATAAATGTTATTCTATCCTGTCTGGATAGATCACGTACAGATTCGTTCAAAAGGTAATAATTGGTCTCTCTATAACACAGAGTGTTTTCAATTCTGGAAGAGTGCTTCAATTCACAACCAAAATGCACAAGTCCAGTCAACACAGGTCAAGCAATCAAAAGCAGGAACAAACCAAAATGGCTGCCGCCCAGACTTAGTATAAAGTAAAACAACATAAGTGCAGTTCGGGAAGAAACATGGGGAATTAGTGGAGGTGTAGTAAAAACGAAACTATAATAAAATACAAATATTAACAATTCAAATGTAGTCAAAAGTTAACAACGTACAACTAAGAGGATCAATAGGAACAAAGTGCAAGTATATACATGGAGGGATTTTCACAAACACACAAAGCATTCAAAATGGATCTTACATAGAGCCTCTAGATGAGATAATGTAGTATTAAAGGACAATGAGTTGTGATCTTTAACAAGGTGGAAGTCTTAATTAGAATAAGAAAGGCTATTAATTAGGACAAAAATTGCAACAACAGAGCAAAGTGTTAAGAATACTGATAATATATCTTTTACTGTCTGAAATTTTTCTCCAACATTTTTTCATTGGGTGTCAACCACACAGCTTGGTATAAAAATCCGAGTTAGTATGTTATATGTTGTCTTGATAGAACAGCCAATCCAGTACAAAATTGGAAACATGAGTCTAAACGGTGAGCATAGAAGAGCAATTTCAATATCACTGATTGATTGACTCCCTTTTACTCATAAATATCCTGACACAAACGAAATGTTCTGCTCCACAAACATGGGTGGATTGAGGTCATGGCGCTTACCACCAATTCTTACTGGTCAGTAACTCCACCCTCCCACCTTGTCTTATAATACTCGAGTGATCTTTCGACATCTTTGAGTCGTTCTTGCCTACAAAGTGCATACATAAGGGTCTGCTCTTGCCCAGTACTACCAGTAATGATTAGCTGTAATAGTGGACAACAAAACGAAGTTGTTATTATTAGTTACTCAACTTTTTAAGTCTGATAAATTGAGTTGATAAACGCTACCTCTAGAAACGCGTGATAGATAGCTATTTGCTATGCCTATTTGGCTCCTAACCACATAACTCTCGAAGGTAAACATATAATCACTGGGAAAATTTACATTCAACATGTAACACTTGATGGATGTCAATAACGGTGAACACGAAAATAATTTAGTCGATATGGAATGGCTCGGCCTTGCGGGCGTGATCATTATACGTAACTTATCCCAGGTTTCATGAAATATGTAATTTTATCTCCAGCCCAAATATGTCCTTCAGAAGTGTTAGACATTGTATTGCTGATTTTACGATATAATTAGTCAGAATAGACAATGGTGTAACTTCCATGTAAACCTTGTGGATTAGGTAGCCACATCATGACAAGTTTACAATTCTTGAATCGGCTCTACTATTACAGTGGTGCAGACAAATGTACTAAAAGCGAAGTAGACCGTGATCCCACAAATGCTCATAAAGTGAGTGGTTATCAGAAAAAGCATAGGTTGTTAACAAGGGTAACATAACTCTCGACCCAAACAGATGTACTGAGAAAAGAGGACCTGAAAATTTCTGTTTGTCTGACTGAACAAAACATTCCATATAACATCATCAGTCTTCCTGATGGATAAGCAACCGTCGAGGCGGCATTTATCTGTACTGCAAAGAGCATGTATATCACCAACGTAGATGATCTATGTCGAATGATCGGGGGCCTACCCGAGTTAGGCGCGAGTGGTGTGACCAAAAGCTAACGTTGAGGTCACATCTCACAGTCAGCACCTAACTTGGATTATCTATTCGTTGTATCACGTTACCATGGATGCTTTGAAGACCGTTATTATACAAATATATTAGTTAGAGTAGGTACAAGGGAAAGCGTGATTACTACCGCATGGGCCAGTCCATAGTGAGAGATTAACTGATGTGCGTTGTTTGTCCTTGACCCTGACAAGGATCGATGAACTATTCGATATTCAGCGGCCAAACTAACGGATGATTTGGCTAGGGCTCGGTAACATTTTATTGGCCCTACAAGCATACATAGCGGTGTACCCACGCTCAAGATTATCAGGAACGACTAGCTGGAATAGTAGAAAGCTTCAAAATAAAGTTGTTATTATTCTTTACCTATCCAACTTTGTTAATCTGGTAAGTCGAGTCAATACATACCACCTCTGGAAAGCGTGTTAGATAGCTACTTGCTTCATGCTACTGAAGCAAATCATAGACATGTCCCTTTTTTTCAAGTACCCATACTTCTGTGTTTGGTTGAAGCGCTGTAAAATCTCATTCAAATATTTAATGTCTATACTCAGTTAATTAGGATGTGAGTTAAAAAACCTGAGCACAACTGTGACCGTATTTTGAAAACATTTTCTTTGGTAAGCTGCTTGCGTAACTTTCAAGAAAACAGATATCGAATGATACTCGTTGGTGAGTTGCACATAGGAAGCGGTCTTAAATAAAATCGTTCACTTGATGACAACTGTCGTCTCGAAGGATTTACAGAAATATATCCTTCTGTGCAAAGATGGTTATGCACGCTATTTACTGCACGGACCAAAAATTCAGAATGATAGTAGCATTATTTTGATCCGAAGGATAAATGCACTTGAATTGAAGCAAACGTAGATTACCGACCTCACCTTTTTTGTCTAGGTTGTAGTGGTGCGTTAAGGAGTGTTCGCTCTACGGTAGAATTTTGATCACCGTTATCATCTACGTCCTGAAGACAAGCATATGAGTTCAATGCCCTGAACTTACACTGATCTGTACGAACACATCGGACAAGAAACTACTTTAAAGTTGGCTCATCGTTCTTTTTAAATATTGAGATGACATAGTTAGCGGACGTACAATGTGCAAATAATTATTAATCACGGAAGTGCTATAACCCTATGTACTTCTTTCAGGCAGGTATCAAAGTCTCCCCAATCGTTAAATTGTCGCGGTAGCATAGTGTCTTAGTGGCCTGATATCTTGAGGTCAATTAGATCGGACGACTTTGTCGACGGGCTCACCACTTTAGTGAGTCTATATCTCACTCCAATTAGACTGTATGTTGATCGCTATCAAAATATACATATAGCCAATCCTCATATATAATCATCGACTTGAATCGCATCAGTTAATAACGGAATGAAATAAGCCAAATACGAGAATGAATATTGAATATATATATTTCATGTACTCATTGACTTGAACAGACAATCGGAGAGACGAAAAAAGAGGAAATAGCTAAGCGGATTGGAGAGGGCAAGTGAGCTCACTCGATTTTATCGAGAGTTAATCAATATTTATAGCCAGATAAAAATAAGCTACAGACACGTGATGAGTAGGATAAGATATGCACAAACATAAGCTCATGTCAAAACAGTCAGAATAAATAAACCAACAAGTGGCAAGGCCGGAATGTGGTTTAAGAAGAATGGATTGATTAGCTTGTCTGGAAGCTAGAACAAACTATTTGGGTAAACGTAGCATATGACGTTACACACTGTCTTTGAATATTCGTCCCATATCATGCATTTTTATGATGGCACCACTTTCGTTAATTGAAGGATGGAGGCTATCAGATATAGTGCAGCTAAACTCAAATCAAATATAAAATTGTCTTGATTTGACCGCTTCTGCAAAACCTTACGAGTTGTCGGGGTGACGCATCAATCGTTTTGCGACGATTTGACCTTCATGTGCTCAGTAACCTCCACGGTGGTCGATACCGCTGAATTGTAGTCATTTTAGAACATCGGCCTATTATTTCAACTACATTGCCTGATTGTCTTTTATTTGTATAAATACTTTTAGGCTCGATTGGTTGCCCTTTTATTCGACGTGAATGCATTTTTTGTGCCTAGTGGAATATCTGCCCACACATTCTCATATAACGAAAAGGTTTAAACAGTGAATTGGTTATTAAATGGTTGTTCGGAAAACTGCGCAACGCGAATCTTGGGTTTTCCCCCAAACTTTGGGGATTTTCCCGAAATCGGGAGATTGGGATCCTTACTCCCCAAAGATCTCTTTTAAAAGAGATCTAATTAGATATAAACTTTCCCACATTATTTTTTAGGCTTTGTGATGCGAACTTCTTAATGATTGTATGTCTTAGGAAAAGTATATTGATTTTGTTTAGCACGGAAAGTTATCAGGTCCTTGTTTTCATGCAATGGACAATACCGTTTCCAGGTTAATGTGCTACGTACATAGTCCACCATCAGGATACTGAGTGACTTTTTAAATCAGGATAATCGTAAACGTAAGATTTTCTAAGGATGCCTGGAATTTATTTTGACCTGACGTATATCCCACTCTCGATTTTGAGGTTTTTATGACATTTCCCCAGAATTTTCTATTACAGCTTCCCCGAATTCCCTGAAATCGAGAGGTTGGGATCATGTCCCATGATTTGACAAATCAGACTACTGTTCACCAGCAGTAAAATGTAGTTCGAAAAAGCCTAAAACTTCTCACATCACTACATTTGACGGGAGGTAGGCGGAATAACACATTAAAAGCGCTTGCTCGGAAATACTCGTTGGAATATACTCATATATTACCTCTTTGCAAACTAATTACTACTTGCAGAACTGAGCTTAAAATATAATTCTTGAGGTCCAACTGCTTTTCTTAATCAACAGGAGCTTTGTTTCCGGAGCTTCATGAAAATAAAAAAATATACACCTTATATGGAGATCAACTCTGATGTCAAATCCATCTTTGATTTAACAATATATTTTAAGATATCCGTGTTTGTGTAAAAATATAGTAACCACAAATTCCATAATTTACGGGCTTTATTACCTACAATAATTTGCTTTCTCTTTCATATTGCTAACCATTTCGGATAACGGGTTTATCCTCAGATCATACTTAATTCCGTTCTTAAATTCTGTTAAGTGAATTAAAATGAACTGAAAAAACACTGCTCCAAGTAATGCGATGCATCATACGTCCTTTCGAAGTATTACTAGCTTATGTAAGAACCACTAAATCATCAATACTGAAGTTAAGCATATGATGCTAGGTAACGATGACACGTCGGTTGATGAGGTAGCAAATCCTCATCGACTGAGGTGGTTAGATCATATATTCTGAATGCTTAAACATCGATTGACGGATTTTTATGGTGTTGGAGTAGGCCGAAAGGAAGCTACGGGCGGCCAAACTAATACGTTGCATTAATCCATGAAGTTCGACCATTGAAATGAACTGTGTTGACAAGTGCAGATTAACTAGTTGGGGTCCGCACAATTATCGTAACCAATGATTGTATATTTTGTGAGCTGGTTCAGAACCGGTCTCGGTGGTGCAGATGCACTCAATCTTAGTTTCTCCTTAGATTCTAAGTGTCGAAACTTTAACCTTTTCCTCTGTGTACTTAATCTTCCTTGCTATTAATAATATTTTACTACTTCTATTCAGATTTATTTTGATTATTTTATCTCTCCATGCTGATATGGTGTAGACGTTTTCCCCAGATTCTACTTTAGATATGACTGCTCACTAACTGAATAAACGACATGCATTTTATATTTTTTTCATTTCATGTTTATTTCGTCTGATGACATTAAATGTCTTTCGACACAATGTTGTGCGTACATTATTCCTGACAATTAATAATATTTTATTATTTACAGTACTCTACCAAGTGTATACAAAAACAAGGTAAGCTAATAATTCCTTTAAGGACCTAATAAACTTTTGCATACCATTCATTTAAAATAATGGGTTGTAGGATAAAAACCCGTTCTTTTTTCTGAGTTACAAACGCTTTAAGGAGCATGGATTGCAAATATGTAAATTTTGTGGTAGTAGTAGTCTAAACTAATCGGTTATATAAAGGTTCGTTGAGAAAAACCACCGTTCTGTTCATTTCGTTCTTGTTTATCTCTTATATCTAGTTTATCCATTACGTTTCTTATTTCGTTCAAAACTTTTTCGGTAATAAAACCTTAAAAATACGTGCACTGAAGTGTGTCTATCCAAGTTTCCACATTCTCATGTCAGCGTAGCGAAAATGGAAGTCGACATGATGATAAGCTCAGGGGGAAGTAAATAGTATTAACTGTCATAAATGGCTAAACATAAAATGTAAATAACTCCAGCTAAGAAGCTCGCATTTACCGATATAACTCAGATTAGCAGTTGATGACTTCATGTAATAATCCCATGTATTTATCTTCCAATCTCATTCGTATTTTAGACAGTATGGGTTGGCAGAATAGGCAGTAATTAAGCATAGGTAACACTTCTCGTCTACAGTTGATAAAGGTGTGCAGCTTCCACTGTGCGCGAACAAACTTCAAAGACATCCATAATCAAACACAGATAACCTGTGCGGGTCTTGTACTTTCACAATCCATATTTCTTAGCTGTAGAGGACTGCAGAACATTTCTGTTCGGCGTATTCGTCCTTTAACCTATTCCATAAGTAACAATTCGGCAAAAGTTAATGGGGCTTGTATCCATCCTATGGTTTCGTCAGCCGCTGATCTACCAGGGCTAGTGAGATTTAAATGACATGGTCAATACTTTTCTCCATTTCACCCCTTTTTAGTCAAACCAGGCACTGATAGAAGAGTCATACAGTGAAGTTTTGTGGTTAGAGGGAGGGCCACCCATCCAATTCGAGCTTCGATTGTTACCCAAGATAGCTAAAATAATGTTTCATATCAACATATTCATTAAACAAAATTATGCCACCCATAAATTAAGAAGTCAAACGAAAGAATTGTTATCTTTAAATCGATACATACAAGACTCGATAAAATCTGAAAGATTGTACACTATGTTTGACACACTAATTATTTTAAAACTAGCAGTGTTATATGCTTTGATCTGAATCTGAGATTGAGGACAACGGTGGTTAATAGTTCTAACCAGGGATGGAGCTTACCTAATGCTTGCAAACGGTTCATCTGTTCTCAGTATTTCCCTAACTGAAGATTGACACATGAAACTTCGAGTGAATTCCCTTTAGTTTAAGATCTGGTCATCTAATTTATTATTTATTTGAACACATGAATATTGGTACAAGAGAGCGCCAATATATATGCGCCACACAAAACGATGAGAATTCGAAGAGAAATAGAAAAAAAGAAAAAAAACTAAGGAGCGCCAAAGAAAAAGAGAACAATAACGAAGAGATTGGTGTAAGGTAGTGTGGTATTAACGAAAGGACGGAAAGGTACAATCAGAAGAAATCTTTCAGTTTAGGAAGATACAACCACTTTTTACGAAGAAAGTAAAAGAAGGTTACAGCAGGATCGCCACTGGCTTCTATTCTGAGCCATATCTGATAACGTCTCTAGCCACTGTGTAGCACCATCTGTCGGACCCCAAACAGAGAGTTGTGAAGGACCGACACAAGCCAGTCCTTTACAGCTTTCTTTCATACCACGATACCATGTCATACACTGACCACCTCTCCGCTTCTTCCAACCAGTCCCAGCGTCGGCAAATAATGCACGACGTGGAATTCTCTGGGACAACATTCGTAGAACATGTCCAAGCCACCGAAGTCGGTGTTTCAAGATGGTGACACCAATTGCATTATCGTCTCTGTGACCGAAGACACGATGCCGAACCTCTGCATTACTGACATGGTGTTGCCACTGAATGTCAGCAATCCTTCGGAGACAGCGATGATCGAACACAGAGAGTCTTCTAACGTCCTCAACTCTGAGAGGCCAGGTTTCACAAGCATAGAGCAAAACTGCTCTCACCAACGCGTTGTAAATCCGACCTTTTACAGCCAGACTAACATCGCGAAAGCGCCAAAGATGGCCCAGATTGGCATAAGCCTCTCTGGCTTTCACTATACTTGCATTGATCTCATCACTCACACCCCCACCAGCACTTATGCAGCTACCCAGATACACGAACTTCTCGACTACGTCTATCTGCTCACCATCCAGGGTGAGTACAGGATTAGAATCCTGCCAGTCTTGTAAAAGTACTTTGCATTTCGAAGGTGCAAAGCACATACCATACCTGCGGACATTGATTGCCAACTGATTAATTGCGGATTGCATGCCTTGGGCATTATCGCACAGTAAGACAATATCATCCTCATACTCAAGGTCGAGAAGTCTTTCTCCAGGCAACAGATCCACACCGCCTTTACTTACATCCATCAGAGCTGTTTCTAGAATGTCATAGATGGCAAAGTTGAAGAGGAATGGTGAGATTGGGTAACCCTGCCTAACCCCACTGCTCGAATGGAACAATGGAGAGAGTTGGTTGTATGCCCTCACTCTGCCTGAGGTGTTTTTATATAGGGCTTTTAGGATGTTAATAAACTTCTCAGGTACACCCTTCTTCAATAGACAATCCCAGAGAACAGTTCTGTCCAACGAATCGAAGGCATCCCTGATGTCAAGAAACACTACGATTGTTGGCCTTTGATAAGTATGACGGTGTTCTAACATTTGGTGGAGGGTGAAGATATGATCAATACATCCTCGACCAGAACGAAACCCAGCCTGTTCCTCGCGAGTCAATCTTTCTCGGGTTTTGAACAACCTACGAAGTATGACGGAAGCCAATAGCTTGGACGCAATCGGAAGTAGACTTATCCTCCGATAGTTGTTACAGAAACGACGTGAAGCCTTTTTAAAGATAGGGACAACTATCGACTCATTCAATGACGTTGGTACACTCTCTAGTCCCCAAACCTTTGTAAACAACGTCGTCAATTCCTTAGTCAGAAAGTCACCACCATCTTTAAAAAGAGCCGGAGGTAAGTCATCTGGGCCAGGTGATTTGTAGCGCTTCAAGAGTTGGAGTTCCTTGCGGACTTCCGCCTCATTTGGTGGATCTGTCGTCACCGGCCATGGAGGGTAGGACAGTCTGACCGGTGTTGCCGGAGCAGCAGGCCAGTTGAACTGCCCTTCGAAAAATTCTGCCCATCGTTCAAGACGTCGATGGATGTTAGTGATTGGTATCCCATCATCCTCGCAGATTGTTTCACTCACACCAGACTTCTTGCTGCCAGTGGCTCGGATGAGTTGAAAGAGCTACCGGTAATTACCAGATGCAGCTGCTGCTTCCAGCTCATTAGCACGCTCCGACCACCAGGCTTCTCGGTCCTTACGCAAGCTTTGTTCAATTTCATTACGTAACATCCTTCGTTTATGGTCAAACTCACGGTCACCCGGAGTAGACCGACGGGCTTCAATGAGTTGTAAGGAACCAGAAGAAACCCAGTGCTTATAAGTGGGAAGTTTCGCAAACCCACAACTGACTGCTCCCGCCATTTTCATGGCGTCATGCAATTGCAACCAATGCTCATCTATACTTTTCGGTGGAATGGTAGCTAGCCTAGAGGCTAGCTCGGTTCGACACTTACTTGCAACAGAAGTTGCAACCAGCTTGCTAATATCAATCCGTTGATGGCGGTCACTTCGTTGTCCACTGAAAAGTAAGATTAGCGCAGACCAGGGCATGGTCAGAGTCCAGATAGGTACTCCAAAAGGAGCGGCAGTCTTGTACACAACCACGCCAGCGGTAGCTGATCGCGATGTGATCAATCTGAGTCCAGGCTTGAGATGCAGAGGGAGGACGCCAGGTGGCACATCGGCGATGACTGTGCCGAAAGTTAGTGCTAGCCAGGAACAGGTTGTGGTCAGTGCAAAGTTGCAGTAGACGGTCCCCGTTATCTGACCTGCGACCAACGAGTCCCCATCGGCCACCTAAACGACTCTCTTCTGTGCCTAGACGCCCGACCTGAGCATTCAAGTCTCCGGCTAGTACAACAATATCTGTCGAACGCACTTTCTGGAGAAGAACAGATAACTGGTGGTAAAACTCATCCTTGATTGCATCCGGGCTGCAATCTGTCGGAGCATAGGCGGAGATGACGAAAAGACATCGTTTCTCACGTCGATTTCTTCTCACTTTGATGGGACTCTCTAATCTAACACCACATAACCGACTATTAATGGGGATCCAATCGACTAGTGCTGCCTCAGCTATAGCGCTTAGTGCGACACCAACGCCAGCAAGACCAGACGAAGATGCCACAGAGTCCCCGGATAAGCGCACGTAAAACAAGCCTTTCGAAGCGACAGATGGAGAGCGAATTTGTAGTACTTCGCCAGAGTCCTGAATACGGGTCTCGGATAGACAACAAACATCAATATTAAGACTTTCCAAAGACATAGCCAGCCCTATCTGTTGTCCGACCTGCATAAGTGTGCGAACGTTGAAGGCAGCCAGTTTGAATGGTGCACGTGGTTTCAGAAAAACTGCTTTAGTATTCGTATTTGGTGGTAGCATACAATTTTCAACCGGACAGTGACTCGAGAACGTTTAGATACAGTCGGATTTCCACCAAAGACGAGGCGCTGTATAAGTATAAAAGAGGGTGAATAATGTGGAAAATAATAATAATAATGACAATAATAGTAATAATAATAGTATTAATAATGACAATAATTGTAATGATAATAATTTGAATCATTTGATTGTTTTTCGAAGCGAGAAAAGTAATTTCCATTTGTGTGTGGGCTGTGATACTGCTTGGGTGCCCAAACCGAAGCAGGTGGTTATCTTAGGGGGCCACACCCCGAGCCTTTGACCTGACGGTCCAACCCACAAGGCAGTGGAGCATCGTAAGGAGATGCAGTCCCATGGTAGCCGGTGACCAACGATTGGTCCATACGCCATTTGTTTCCTCAGGATACTGGAGCCCATGTGCACCATTGGTTTGGGATCCGGTTAAAGCGCCGGATATTCGCTTTTCGTCCTCTCATTTTTGTAAACAACACCCTCGCCACGAGAAGGCAGTGAGTAGGACTTCCCTGGCAGAGGCTGTATACGCGCGGCTGTGTTAGAGTATTTCTAGAGGGAGAGCGGACTCTCCCCACTCTCGGCCGTACCAGGGCATTCGGGGGCTTTACAGGTACTTTGTGCACTTTATCTTCAGTTTCGGTCCTTAGGTATAGTTTCTATCTTTGGCCAACGTGCTTTCAATCCACTAAAATTACTAATACTTGATCAGTAAGTTTTACTGACCCTTAACTTCTAACATGCCCAATGTTACTGAGTATTCGGAACAGGAACTACTGTCATAGTTTTATGTTAGTGTAGACTTATGTACACTTACACACGTTTATGTTGCCTACTACATGTATTCCGCATACTTTACTATAGCGCACAAAGAAGGAATATGGTGCTGCACATGGGGTGAAAATCGGAACAGAAATAAACAGTACATTATTACAGGTTCTTTAGATAATGGCCTCATCGCTTGGGAGTGGTAAGCGCATTATTTGCTGAGGTCTTATATGCATAAACTGTTTATAAAGCTTATATTTTTTTGTAAGATGTTGACTGAAGATAGCCTCTGATAATTACGACGGTCTAATGATATTTTTAGCTTTCCTGTATGGTTAGATATAGCATAATTCTTAAAAGCTTTGTTAAATTTTTCTCAGTGAAAACTTAATGATTTAGAAACTATAATCTTATTCGTATATTCCACCCCTCAGTTATTGACTTATTTAGATATACATCCAAAACTTACAATTCGAGCAGCAGTTTGATGGCTAAGTTGACAGTCTAAACTCCACTCTACCTACTTCGGGTTGGTCAACCAGGTAGTGATATCATCAAGCTTCATACAAATGTTATGGCTCAAAGCCGAGTACGTAAACCTGTACTTGGTAGGTTAGTTACTTCGTCACAAATGATGGTTCTCTTTTAGTGATCCTTGACATTCCATCTAACCTATGTACATAGGTAGTTTTGTAATCCTAGTAACGCAGTTTCTATAAAAATCCTAACTACACTCTCGGATGTACTTTATGTTTAATGTTGCGAATTATATTCTACATTTACATGACTCAGTACTTCATAGTTGATGAAAGCACACTCTAATTTTGAGATATTTGTACAAACTTCGTATTGTTTGTTGCGTTTATTTATCATAAGTATTCTTATAAACTTCCCTAAAAGTTCTCCATCATTTGATCGAAGCTGATTCGCTAAAATAATCCAAAATATAGACATCTTGGCTCCACTCAGATTAAGTTTGATAATCAGATCTAATATTTATATTCCAACCGTATCGTATTACAAGTCACCCTCGTAAAATCACATGAAATCAAAGTGATATGAAAGTAATTTCAAAGTTGTTTAACAAGTGCTAAAGTAAATATTTTCGTGAAAGGGATCACATACTCTCCAAAATGATATAACTCAGCATTCCTATACATTCTATCAAGGACAGTACGTCTGTTTATTTATAAAAAGCTAAGTAGGAGAAAGAGGTTAAATACGTATGTTCAGTATTAAAAAATGAGGACCACATATTTCACGCTTCAAAAAGATTCATTAGAAAGCAATAATTGGTTTTTACTATATATTCTATGTGCCAACTGCGTAATAAATTAAGACAATTTATATAAGGTTAAACTACTTTACGGAGTTTTGATTTGTGTTGCTTGTTAATTTTGAATATATGAGTAAACTCTCGACCGTAATCTTTCCTGAATTTCTATTGGTAGTTGCAAGGTATCTCAACGCAAAGTACGTAAAAGTATATTCAGTTGATTAATTAAGATAAAAGCTAATTTTACTATGATTATTTGTTAAACTCCTACACCGAAGTAGTTGAATCATAATGAACAACTCAGCAACAATACTCTGTAATTCTTCATATTTCTATTTATCCAATTATTGCTCACCTGTTTATCACCATTTATTTGTTTTAGGATTAATAGTCAGTTAAAATGTCTTTATCAATTTGAAGGACATAGATTGGGTGTTATTTCGGTTGACATAAATTCAACAGGTACACTGGCAGCATCTAGCAGTCTTGATAGCCAGGTAAGTTGTCGATGATTTTTTAATGTTTTGCCAATAATTAATATATATATATATATATATATATATATATATATATATATATATATAATGATTATTCAATAAGAATATATGTAGTAATGGTCCATAAATAATTCCTAGCAGTTACCATTCATTTATTCTTCGTTCGGACATAACATCAGTCTCATAGATTTCACTGTCAACAGTAAAGGTGACCAAGCACATCAGATAACTTTTGTTCTTTTGCTCTGTTAACTAGAAAATCCTTGGTTGTATTTCTTGATAAGCTTTATCGTCCATTCTATACCGTTCTTATCCACTTACGTTTTGGCTGTACTTTTTTCCCTCTTGATTTATTCATAGTATTATTTCCTTATTTTGGTGCCTTGTGTCATTTTAATTTTATTAACTAAATGGAAATATGCATATTTTGTTTGGATGTAAGTTAATTGGAGGTAGTCGATATGAAACTATGGACCTGGATTTCATAGTATTTTACACTCATCATTAAGTTATGCTTGTAATTTTGGATATTTGTTTATTTATTTGAACACATAATTATTGGTGCAAAGGGGCACCAGATACATATGTACCATACAATAACAATGAGAATATGGAGAGATAAAGAATGTACGTTCCGTATAAGAAAACGGGGAACAATAACGAACAGAAATTAGTGTATGATAGTGAAATAATAATAATGCGAGAAGCAGTTCAGTCAGCAAAGGTACAACCAGAAACAATCCTTTCAGTTAAAGAAATTACGTCCATTTTTTTATAAAGAAAGTAAAATAAAGTTACAACGTGGTCGCCACTGACTTATATTCTGAGCCATATTTGATAACGTCTCTAGCCACGGTGTTGCACCATCTCTCGAAACCCAGCCAAGAGAGTCATGAAGGACCGACAAAAGCCAGTCCTGTACAGCCTTCTTTCATGCCACGACACCATGTCATACACTAACCACCTCTCCACTTTTTCCAACCAGTCCCAGCGTCAGCAAATAATGGAATTCTATAGGCATACATTCTTGGTATCTGTCCGAGTCATTGAAGTCGGTGATGGAAGAAGATAGTGACACTAGTGCCATTATCGTCTCTGTGCCCGAACACACGATGCAGAACCTCTGCATTACTAATATGGTGTTGCCACTGGACGTCAGCAATCCTTCCGAGAGTCTGGGAAATGTACGTTATCCCATCTAACTGGTCTCAATCACTGATTGTGCCAGTCTATAAGAAAGGACAAAAGTCCTCTTGTGACGGTCACAGAGGAATCAGTTTGACTAATATAGTGTCTAAAATATTAGCTTCAATAATACTTCGACGCCTAACTAAAGCTCGTGAAGAGCAGACTAGAGAAAACCAGGCTGGTTTTCGACTTGAACGTGGTTGTATAGACCAGATATTCACGCTACGTCAGGTCCTAGAACATAGACACACATTCAGACACCCCACAATCGCAGTATTTCTCGACCTTAAGGCGGCATTTGACTCTGTTCATCGTGAGGTTTTATGGCAGTGTTTGTCACTGAAAGGAGTACCAAAAAAGTACATTAACCTTGTAAAGGCTCTCTACTCGAACACAACTGGTCGAGTGAGGGCTTATAGCGAACTGTCATCAGAATCGATTACCTCAAGTGGTGTTCATCAGGGTTGTCTACTCTCTCAATTTTTGTTTAACTTTATCGTAGACGTGCTTTTAGAGATGACACTTTCCTCATTTAAATTTCCAAGGGTTGAACTTCCACCGGGAGATTCACTTGTTGACCTAGAATATGCCGATGACATAGTTCTATTTGGTGAAGACGCTGACAAAATGCAGTCTTCTGACCACCCTAAGCAACAATGCAAGCATGTTCGGGATGCGATCCCCCCCCCCTCGAAATGCAAAATGTTACTTCAGGACTGGGTGGCATCGACACCCGAACTAATGATAGGGAGTGAAGTAGTTGAGCATGTCGAACGCTTCACTTATCTGGGAAGTCTCATCAGCCCTTGTGGTCTGGTGTGTGGCGAAATCTCAGCACGGATACAGAAGGATCGACTAGCTTTTGACAACTTGCGTCATTTATGGCGTAGGCGAGATATCCGTCTACCAACCAAAGGACGAGTTTACTGTGCAGCAGTTTGCTCCGTCCTACTTTATGGCAGTGAAACATGGTCGGTACGAGTAGAGGATATTCGTAGGTTACTAGTATTCGATCACATGTGTTTTCGAAGCATTGCTCGTATATCCTGGGACCACTGAGTAAGTAATGCAGTTGTTAGGAAATGGGTACTAGGCAAGGGTAGCAAGTCAATTGATGAAGTAGTGAAACTTCATCAGTTGAGATGGCTGGGACATTTGTTACGTATGCCCAACCACCGACTACTCCGACGTGCTATGTTTTATGGTGTAGGAGTAGGTTAGAAGAAAGCTAGGGGCGGCCAAACCAAAACATGGCACAAATCCATGAAGTCACTGACAAGTGGACTGAGCCATGTTGGTAGGTGTAGACTACCTGGCTGGGATCCGCGAGATGATAGCAACCGATGGTTAGAGACCCTGAATGACATGGCTCAAAATCGTTTGCAATGGCGCAGGTGCATCCACTCTTTGTGTTCTCCCAAATTCTAATCTTGTGAATTCTTTATGTCCCTTTTTTCCTCTTTCCAAATTTGTTTCACTGTATTATACTCCTTGAATAACATCTTCAAACCCTAATCTTTCCGATTACTGCTTATACTCTTACCACTTCTACCACTACGAGATTAGAATGAACAACTGCATCTCTGTTGTAATGTGGTGTGGCAACTCGAACTGATGTGCGTACGAAGTTCTACATTGTTACTGACTGACTGACTATCGTTCAGTTGCAAACAATGCTCATCTATACTTTTCGGTAGGATTTTAGGTACCCTTGAACCTATCTCAGTTTGATATTTGGTTGCAACAGAAGCTGCAACTAATTTACTGACATCTATTCGTTTAAGTCGGTGAATTTGTTGGCCACTAAAAAGTAAGGTAGGATTAGCGCTAACAAGGGCATGATCAGAGTCTATATAGGTACTCCCAATGGAGCGGCAGTCTTGTAATTTTGAAGGAACTTATGCTCTCCGGCGAATTCGAGCTAACCTCCGATGGGACTAAGACATTTATAATTAATTGATCACTAAATAGTACCCAGTGTCACGTATATTGAGTCCTTCCTAATGCTTACCGACTGCTATCGATCGACGAGTGTGGGTTTACACAGAGCAGATCTACGGTTTTCCGTCGACTACCTCCAACCTTCTGACAGCGTAGTACACGTGATATCAAGTCACTTAAACCAGTGGTCACAATGAAACATGAACACTAGCATTTGGTCAACGTTAATATAAACTTAACATATGTGACATTAGTTACTACTCTATGATTAATCAGTTGTAAGTGTTTTGTTATAAATCGGAATAGGTAGACAGTATGTTGGGTATTAAGATTCTTATTACCCTCGATGTGTGATCTCATTCATTATATGAAGACTATTTTGATTAGATGGGATAAAATGGCGAAAGCATATCTTTTTTTAAATTCAACGTGATAACTGCTCAGAATAATATTCGTTTCATTTTATATATTTGACTTTTAAATTGATAATCAAGCGGGTGTACAAACCGATAAGTAAGTAATGGTATTTTTTGGCTAGGGTTGTCGCGTTTTGGAGTGATTAAATCTTCACCTGTATCAGTCCTTTGTGTTCTTACTTTGCACTGTAGGAATTTTAGTGGTTCCTCGTTTTTAAGTAGTAGTGACAACGGATGTGGATATAACATTTTATCTTTAACTACCTTTTTGTTCACTGCTATTTGCTTCCCCTTACCTTCTGTTTCATTAGAATTTCCAACAGTCCTATTGTTTTCGTTTTCCTTCAAATTGGTGTTCATTTTTCTTCTCTTATTGTGTCTTGTCTATTTTATTGGCGTATCATGACCATAAAAAAGATTTTGTCGCATTATCACTAAGCAGTTATAGTTTACATGCGTTTTCAAAGCTGGGATAATGCACTAATCACATTAAATGTTGTTTATTGATTAGACGCATCGATTAAGTTCTAGCCATTTCAAATCTCTTTCGTGTGCTGTATATGATGTTAATTTTTGTTATGTTCTATTATACATATTTCAACAGATTTTATTATGGGATCTGGAAACAGGAAAGTTAACAAAAACATATGACGGTGATCCAGCTGATACCTGGACTGTTGCCTTCTCTCCTGATTCGCGTTTCCTAGCTACTGGGAGTCATACAGGCTGTGTAAATATGATTAATGTACAAACTGCTCAGAAAGAGGGTTCTATTCAATTAGAAGGGAAATTTGTCTACAGCCTTGCTTATGTAAGCTTTCTTTTCTGTTGTGTTGTGGTTAATTATTCGAAGAATAATTTTCTATTATTACTTACAGTCTATTGTTTTTCTGAGCAAAAAGAAGTTTATTCGTTTAAATATTTATCTACTGAATCCTATTTTTATTCTCAGTACTCCTCTTAAATGTCTCTCTCAATGGGAAAACAGCATATTCATTATGCTGCCAAAAGTATGATTGTTAAGGCAATCAATAGACATTTAATTGTATTATATTGCAATTAATTATTTTTGTTTCGACATTGTTCAAAATTTATAAATATCTATCAACTAAATATTTTCAATGTCGTTTAGTTAATTGTATGAAGTTAATTAGTTGAACCTTATCAGCAAAATACTATAAATAGTAGAACAAACAACACGACTTTCTCTTACCATTGTTGTTTATCATTTTGAAACATTTGAGGTTATGTTAGTCAGTCAGTCAGTCAGCTACAACGTACGACCAGGCACATATATGCATCGGTCCAAGTTGCCATACCTCATTAACACAACAAGATGGACACCGGATTCATAAAAGTAGTTAATTCAGAGGTGGTAATATATAAAAGAAAGATTGCAATAAGGATATAGTACAGGAAGAAAGATTTAGTACGTAGATAGGAAGATATAAAGTAATTTTAGTCTCATAGTTTAAGGGAAAACAGAGAGTGTATACACCGACGCCATCGTGATCGATTCTGAGCCATGTCACCAAGAGTCTCTAATCATTGGTTACGAAAGTCACGCGGACCCCAACCAAGTAGTGTGCATCTACCAACATGGCTCAGACTAGAGGTTAGTGTCTTCAAGCACTGATGTCATGTTTGGGTTTGGCCGCCCCTAACTTTCTTCAAACCATCCCCAACACCGCTTAGCATTGCACGCCGTAGTAATCGGTGTTCGGGCATACGTAACACGTGGCTCAACCATCTCAGTCGATGAGGACTCAACTTCATCAACTGATTTACCATCATTCCCTAATACCCTGAGTGTAACCTCACTATTACTTACCCTGTGATCCCAGCAGACGCCAGCAATATTTCTAAGGCATCTGTGGTCAAATACTAGTAGCTTACGAGTGTCTTCTACTCTTAATGGCCATGTTTCGCTGCCGTAAAGTGGAACAAAAGGGACTGCCGCGTAGTATACTCGTCCTTTTATTGATAGACGGATATCTCGCCTTCGCCAAAGGTGACGCAAGTTGGCACAAGCCAAGCGAGCTTTTCGAATCCGTGCTGAGATTTCGTCAGACATCAACCCATTAGGGCTGATCAGACTTCCAGAATAAGTGAAGTTGTCAACGCGTTCGACTACTTCACTCCCTATCCTTAGTTCAGGTGTTGATGCAGACCACTCCTGAGGCAACAACTTGCATTTAGAGGGAGAGAAGCGCATTCCAAACATCCTGGCATTGTTGCTTAGTGCTACCAGAAGACTCTGCATTCTATCAGCGTCTTCACCAAACAGGACTATGTCATCTGCGTATTCTAAGTCGATAAGTGGACCTCCTGGAAGGAGATCAATACCCGAGAACTCAGTCGACGAGAAAGTTATTTCCATCAGTAGATCTATGATGAAGTTAAACAAAAATGGAGAAAGTGAGCAGCCTTGACGGACACCACTTGAGGTTGCAAAAGTAGATGACAGTTCGCCATAAGCTCTGACTCGACTAGTAGTGTTCGAGTAAAGAGCCTTTACAAGGTTTATGTACTTCTGGGGTACGCCTTTCAATGACAGACACTGCCACAGAATCTCGCAGTCTACCGAGTCAGATGCTGCTTTTAAGTCAAGAAAGACCACCATTGTCGGACGCAGATAAGCATGCCTGTGTTTTAGAACCTGGTGAATGGTGAATATGTTGTCGATGCAGCCACGACCAGGTCTGAAGCCAGCTTGATTCTCTCGTGTTTGCAGTTCGCGAGTCCTTGTTAAGCGTACGACAGCTATTGAGGCTAGTATTTTAGATACTATATTAGTCGAACTAACCCCCTCTATGGTTGTCACAGGATGTGATTTTAAACCTCTCTTATATATTGGGATGATAAGTGATTGTGACCAGTTAGATGGGATAACGTCTAACTCCCAGATCTTAGCTAAAATATTAGTCAACCTAATCGCTAAAATTTGACCACCATCCTTAAAGACCTCTGGAGCCAATCCATCTGGCCCAGCTGCCCTTCCTCGTTTCAGATTAGCTATAGCCTTTCGATCTTCTACTAGAGTTGGGGAACCTACTTCAATGTTCCATTCACACTGTCTGGGAATGGAGGGTAGTTGTAGAGTAGTTGGAGGCCAGTTGAACTGTTCTCTGAAATGTTCCGCCCATCGTTCTAAACATCTGGACTGAGATCAGATGAGGGCGTCGTCTTTTTCGGAAATAGTCTGACTTACACTTGACTTATTAATTCCAGTTTCTTTTATTAGTCTGTAGAACTGTCTTGTGTTCCCTATAGCCGCCGCCTTTTCCTTCTCTTTTGCTTTCGTTGCCCACCGCTGCTCACGGTCGTTCCTTAGACTTTTGCCTAACCTAGATCTGATTTGTTTTCGCTCTTCATCGTGTTCAGAGCCTGATGGGATGAGTTTACGAGAATCCATCAGTGCAATAGACCTAGAGGAAATCCATTGGTTCCTTGTAACCCTTTGGTTTAAATTACCGATAGATATCACTGCTGTTTCCACAGCTGTTTGTATAGCTTTCCAAGCAACATCTGGGTCAGCCTCGTTTTCAGAACTACCTAAGTGTGACCTCAGTTGTTCCTGGAAACTACTTTTGGTTTTCTCGCTACTCAATTCAGTTCTAATGGGTCTTTTTACTGTGGCTTTTTTGCGTCTAATGAGGCGCAAGCAGATGCGTGCCCGTATTAGGGCGTGGTCGGAGTCCAAGAAGGTACTCCAGGATGAGCGACAATCTTCTACCGACCCTCTCCAACGATGACTGATGGCAATATGGTCTATTTGAGTCCATCGTTGGTTTGGTGTAGGAGGTCGCCATGTTAGACGATGTCTCTCCTTATGCTTAAAATTTGTGTTTGCTAAAAATAAACGATTGTCTGAGCGCAGTTGCAGCAGACGATCACCATTATCTGTTCGTTGTGCTTTTATTAGTTGTTACAACGTTTGTCATTTGTACTCATATGTGTAAGCTTCATCAACCTGCTGGTGATATTTTTTCTCAGTTGGATTAAGTACTTGACGTCACTGTATAAATATCCAAATTATCAAATTTATCAATAAAGCATTAAAAGAAATACTATTTTACGAAATTCCTTCATATTGAGGATCATATTTTGTTTTTTAAGGGGTTCCTATTTGTATTTGTGTTTGATTGCAATATGATATAGGAGATTTTAAGCTAAACTTTTTTTTATCTCAGGTTTAGCCATACTATCGGTTACATCAAATCAAATGTACTTGGTGAATATTTTAAACCTACCATCGTATTTTCTAAGAAAATTTATACCACTAATTCATAGCTTTATTTCCCCTTTAAAATCTAAGTCACTTTCCTTCATGGTTTGAGTAAATTTCAGGTATTTAAACGTGTTAAAGTTAACTTCTTCCGGCGACTTACATTATGTTGTATACCACACCTCAAATATTATTTCAGTGACTACACTTGAGATTTGTGCTTTAGAACAAAAAGAAATGATCTTTTTCGTCATATCTGCAGAACATTTGAGATGATCGGTCAGCTTTATTGTAGATTTTAACTATATAAATCTTTTCAACTACTTATTTCGTGAATTCGTAGATCTCTGACGATTTATGATTTTTTTTATTGTTTACGGTCAAGCTGTTGACTATATTTCCATGATCTTTTTCACATTCTTATCATAGTTTGTTAATAGATTATCCTTTTTTAATTTATAGTGTTACATTACATATAGCATTACCAATCCCTTCTCCTTCTATTATATCCTTATATGCAGTCATTTTTGTATATAGAATACTATCATTGAAGTAACTGCTTCCATGATTTTGGTGTCCATCTTGTTGCGCTAATGGGATATAACAACTTGGACCAATGCATGTATGTTCCTGGTCCTACGTTGTAGATGACTGAGCCTTACCAATTACAAATTGATAATAATATTTCACTTCTTTTACATAAATTTCTTTATATAAACAAGATCTCTGACGGATCTAAGCTAGCTGCTGGAACAATCAATGGGCTTGTCAGCATTTGTGATTTAGAAACAGGGAGTGTTCAGTTTTTGGATGGACACGCCACACCGGTACGTTCAGTTTCATTTTCACCCGATGGACGTCTATTGGCTTCTGCATCAGATGATAAACAAATTAAAGTTTTCGATGTGTAAGTTGTTCATAAATTTTTTTTTTACTAACATACTTAGTATTAGTCTACCCTAAATTCCTCGTAAAATCTCTTCCATTTTCATTTGATTTTTATAGTACTAGTTGAACTTCCCAGTGTACTATTTACTTTATAAGTCAACTAGCAGATAACGTGTTGTGAACTGTGAAGTTCACAATTTGCTTTCTATCATCTTGAGGTAGCAAATTTTCGTGGGCATAACTAGCCCCCAAATGCCCTGATATGGCCGAGAGCGGAGTGGGTTCTCCCTACCTCTCGAAATACTCCCATACGGCCACGCGTATACAGCCTCTGCCAGGGAAGTCCTACTCACTGCCTTCTCGTGGCGAGGGTGTTGTTTACAAAAATGAGAGGACGAAAAGCGAATATCCGGCGCTTTAACCGGATCCCAAACCAATGGTGCACATGGGCTCCAGTATCCTGAAGGAACAAATGGCGTATGAACCAACCGTTGGCCACTGGTTACCATGGGACTGCATCTCCTCACGATGCTCCACTGCCTTGTGGGTTTGACTTTTAGGTCAAAGGCTCGGGGTGTGGCCCCCTAAGATAACCACCTGCTTCGGCCTGGGCACCCGGGCAGTATCGCAGCCAACACACAAATATGATGAAATGTCGATATTTATGGAAAATACTTGTCTTGCTTCGATTAACAATCAAACGATTCACATTATATTATTGGTAGTATTATTGTTGTTGTTATTATTTTTTTACGTCATTTATTCACTCTTTTATTCCCACTTTATGTATCCTTATTTTTCGACTTATACAGCAGCTCGCCTATGGTGGAAACTCGGTTCTATCTAAACGTCCTTGAGTCACTGCCTGGTTGAAAATTGTATGCTACCACCAAATACGAATACTAAAGCAGTTTTTCTGAAACCACGTGCACCATTCAAACTGGCTGCCTTCAACGTTCGCACACTTATGCAGGTCGGACAACAGATAGGGCTGGCTATGTCTTTGGAAAGTCTTAATATTGATGTTTGTTGTCTATCCGAGACCCGTATTCAGGACTCTGGCGAAGTACTACAAATTCGCTCTCCATCTGTCGCTTCGAAAGGCTTGTTTTACGTGCGCTTATCCGGGGACTCTGTGGCATCTTCGTCTGGTCTTGCTGGCGTTGGTGTCGCACTAAGCGCTATAGCTGAGGCAGCACTAGTCGATTGGATCCCCATTAATAGTCGGTTATGTGGTGTTAGATTAGAGAGTCCCATCAAAGTGAGAAGAAATCGACGTGAGAAACGATGTCTTTTCGTCATCTCCGCCTATGCTCCGACAGATTGCAGCCCGGATGCAATCAAGGATGAGTTTTACCACCAGTTATCTGTTCTTCTCCAGAAAGTGCGTTCGACAGATATTGTTGTACTAGCCGGAGACTTGAATGCTCAGGTCGGGCGTCTAGGCACAGAAGAGAGTCGTTTAGGTGGCCGATGGGGACTCGTTGGTCGCAGGTCAGATAACGGGGACCGTCTACTGCAACTTTGCACTGACCACAACCTGTTCCTGGCTAGCACTAACTTTCGGCACAGTCATCGCCGATGTGCCACCTGGCGTCCTCCCTCTGCATCTCAAGCCTGGACTCAGATTGATCACATCGCGATCAGCTACCGCTGGCGTGGTTGTGTACAAGACTGCCGCTCCTTTTGGAGTACCTATCTGGACTCTGACCATGCCCTGGTCTGCGCTAATCTTACTTTTCAGTGGACAACGAAGTGACCGCCATCAACGGATTGATATTAGCAAGCTGGTTGCAACTTCTGTTGCAAGTAAGTGTCGAACCGAGCTAGCCTCTAGGCTAGCTACCATTCCACCGAAAAGTATAGATGAGCATTGGTTGCAATTGCATGACGCCATGAAAATGGCGGGAGCAGTCAGTTGTGGGTTTGCGAAACTTCCCACTTATAAGCACTGGGTTTCTTCTGGTTCCTTACAACTCATTGAAGCCCGTCGGTCTACTCCGGGTGACCGTGAGTTTGACCATAAACGAAGGATGTTACGTAATGAAATTGAACAAAGCTTGCGTAAGGACCGAGAAGCCTGGTGGTCGGAGCGTGCTAATGAGCTGGAAGCAGCAGCTGCATCTGGTAATTACCGGTAGCTCTTTCAACTCATCCGAGCCACTGGCAGCAAGAAGTCTGGTGTGAGTGAAACAATCTGCGAGGATGATGGGATACCAATCACTAACATCCATCGACGTCTTGAACGATGGGCAGAATTTTTCGAAGGGCAGTTCAACTGGCCTGCTGCTCCGGCAACATCGGTCAGACTGTCCTACCCTCCATGGCCGGTGACGACAGATCCACCAAATGAGGCGGAAGTCCGCAAGGAACTCCAACTCTTGAAGCGCTACAAATCACCTGGCCCAGATGACTTACCTCCGGCTCTTTTTAAAGATGGTGGTGACTTTCTGACTAAGGAATTGACGACGTTGTTTACAAAGGTTTGGGGACTAGAGAGTGTACCAACGTCATTGAATGAGTCGATAGTTGTCCCTATCTTTAAAAAGGCTTCACGTCGTTTCTGTAACAACTATCGGAGGATAAGTCTACTTCCGATTGCGTCCAAGCTATTGGCTTCCGTCATACTTCGTAGGTTGTTCAAAACCCGAGAAAGATTGACTCGCGAGGAACAGGCTGGGTTTCGTTCTGGTCGAGGATGTATTGATCATATCTTCACCCTCCACCAAATGTTAGAACACCGTCATACTTATCAAAGGCCAACAATCGTAGTGTTTCTTGACATCAGGGATGCCTTCGATTCGTTGGACAGAACTGTTCTCTGGGATTGTCTATTGAAGAAGGGTGTACCTGAGAAGTTTATTAACATCCTAAAAGCCCTATATAAAAACACCTCAGGCAGAGTGAGGGCATACAACCAACTCTCTCCATTGTTCCATTCGAGCAGTGGGGTTAGGCAGGGTTACCCAATCTCACCATTCCTCTTCAACTTTGCCATCTATGACATTCTAGAAACAGCTCTGATGGATGTAAGTAAAGGCGGTGTGGATCTGTTGCCTGGAGAAAGACTTCTCGACCTTGAGTATGAGGATGATATTGTCTTACTGTGCGATAATGCCCAAGGCATGCAATCCGCAATTAATCAGTTGGCAATCAATGTCCGCAGGTATGGTATGTGCTTTGCACCTTCGAAATGCAAAGTACTTTTACAAGACTGGCAGGATTCTAATCCTGTACTCACCCTGGATGGTGAGCAGATAGACGTAGTCGAGAAGTTCGTGTATCTGGGTAGCTGCATAAGTGCTGGTGGGGGTGTGAGTGATGAGATCAATGCAAGTATAGTGAAAGCCAGAGAGGCTTATGCCAATCTGGGCCATCTTTGGCGCTTTCGCGATGTTAGTCTGGCTGTAAAAGGTCGGATTTACAACGCGTTGGTGAGAGCAGTTTTGCTCTATGCTTGTGAAACCTGGCCTCTCAGAGTTGAGGACGTTAGAAGACTCTCTGTGTTCGATCATCGCTGTCTCCGAAGGATTGCTGACATTCAGTGGCAACACCATGTCAGTAATGCAGAGGTTCGGCATCGTGTCTTCGGTCACAGAGACGATAATGCAATTGGTGTCACCATCTTGAAACACCGACTTCGGTGGCTTGGACATGTTCTACGAATGTTGTCCCAGAGAATTCCACGTCGTGCATTATTTGCCGACGCTGGGACTGGTTGGAAGAAGCGGAGAGGTGGTCAGTGTATGACATGGTATCGTGGTATGAAAGAAAGCTGTAAAGGACTGGCTTGTGTCGGTCCTTCACAACTCTCTGTTTGGGGTCCGACAGATGGTGCTACACAGTGGCTAGAGACGTTATCAGATATGGCTCAGAATAGAAGCCAGTGGCGATCCTGCTGTAACCTTCTTTTACTTTCTTCGTAAAAAGTGGTTGTATCTTCCTAAACTGAAAGATTTCTTCTGATTGTACCTTTCCGTTCCCCCATTAGTACCACTATTATTATTACACTACCTTACAACAATCTGTTTCTTATTGTTCTTTTTTTTACCATCTTTATCTTTTTTCTTTTTCCTTCTCTTTAAATTCTCATTGTTTTGTGCAGTGCATATATATTTGGCGTACTCTTGTACCAATATGTGTGTGTTCAAATAAATGAAAATAAATAAACTAGAAAGTTAAGAACATATAATTTTTTTTAGTTATGTGTGTTAAGCTACTTCAACCATTGTGATATGATGAGAAGAAAATTCAAAATTAGATTGATTTACTTATTACAATTTTTGTTCAACATTACTTCCGTTTTTAATCCAATGTGATAATTACTCAATATAGTATTTGCATCTGTATACCCGTATGACATTTTGTTCTGTATAGCATACGTTATTATTGTATTAAGTTAACGCGAACTATACTCAGCATATGATTTGTTATAACGGTAAGTATTTTTTTATATGTGATTTCATCCTAATTATTAATCGGTCAGTCAGTCAGTCAGTCAGTAACAATGTAGAACTTCGTACGCACATCAGTTCGAGTTGCCACACCACATTACAACAGAGATGCAGTTGTTCATTCTAATCTCGTAGTGGTAGAAGTGGTAAGAGTATAAGCAGTAATCGGAAAGATTAGGGTTTGAAGATGTTATTCAAGGAGTATAATACAGTGAAACAAATTTGGAAAGAGGAAAAAAGGGACATAAAGAATTCACAAGATTAGAATTTGGGAGAACACAAAGAGTGGATGCACCTGCGCCATTGCAAACGATTTTGAGCCATGTCATTCAGGGTCTCTAACCATCGGTTGCTATCATCTCGCGGATCCCAGCCAGGTAGTCTACACCTACCAACATGGCTCAGTCCACTTGTCAGTGACTTCATGGATTTGTGCCATGTTTTGGTTTGGCCGCCCCTAGCTTTCTTCTAACCTACTCCTACACCATAAAACATAGCACGTCGGAGTAGTCGGTGGTTGGGCATACGTAACAAATGTCCCAGCCATCTCAACTGATGAAGTTTC